AAGTTTGAGAGAAACTTTTTTATCACACAACAAGCTCGATGCATTCCTCAACTTCAACCATCTGACTTGAATTCTACTAATAATATCCCATCTATTTCACCATCACTCTGCACAATAGACCCAAGATATCTAAAATGTGTACTCTTATTAATAACTTGATCGCCCAAAGTCACAATCCCCCCACTAGATCTCTTATTACTAAAATTACACAACATATATTTAGTTTTAGATCTACTCAGATGAAAGCCTTTAGACTCTAAGGTTGACCTCCATAATTCAAGTTTACCTTCAACTCCCTCTTTAGTCTTATCAACAAGAAGAATATCATCAACAAAAAGCATACAACAGGGTGCAACCTCTTGCAAATGTCTGGTGAGAACATGGACGACTAAAGCAAAAAAAGATATGGGCTTAAGGATGATCCTTGATGTAATCCAACTAAAATATGAAAATACTTGGTCAAATCACCTTGTGATTGAACACAAGTAACCGCTCATGCATACATATCCTTAATGACTTGAATATAAGCATTATTAACCATTCTCTTATGTGGAACTCTCCTTAGCACTTCTTTTGGAACTTTATTATATTCTTTTTTTAAATTAAAAAAAACCATATATAAATCATCCTTCTCTGTATACTTCTCCATCGAACCTCTCAATAAATGTACAATTTCCATAGTAAACCTACTTGGCATGAATCCAAATTGATTTTGAGAAACATTAGTGTCACGTCGCTACCAATGCTCCATAACTCTATCCCATAATTTTAAAGTATGAAACATTAACTTAATTCTTCTATAATTCACACAATCTTGTGTATCACCTTTATTCATAGAAATAGGTATGAACACGCTCATTCTCCACTCATCTGACATCTTTTTAGTCTTTAAAACAATATTAAAAAGTTGAGTAAGCCAAGAAATTCCTACATCTCCTAAGCATTTTTACTCTATTGGAATATCATCAGGTCTAATAGCTTTTCCACACTTTATTTTCTTTAAAGTCTCCTTAACTTTGGTTTTACTAGTACGCCGATAACATTTTTTTTATTTTCATTTAGCCTGTTAAGGTTACTAAAGCCAATCGCATTCTCATAATTTTCATTGGAAAGTTTAGCAAAATATCTCATCCACCTTTATTGAATATCCTCTTCTAATTAAAGCACTTTTTAATCTCCATCCTTAATACACTTCACTTGAATTAAATCCTTACTACTCCTATTTGTTTGTTTAGCTAACTTATAAATATATCTTTTGCCCTCCTTAATATATAATCTATTATATAAATCATTAAAAGCTAAAATCTTTACATTGCATATTGCTTTCTTAGACTCCTTACGTGCCTCTTTATATATTTTCCAATTATCGAAATTTTACAATAAATTTTTATAACAAATCTTCTTGTTTTTTTATCTTTTCTTGCACATTTTGATTCTACCACCAACTATTTTTACTATCCCTTTGATACTGCAGGCACATCTTTTGCCCATTAGGATTGTTTGGATAAAAATAAAAAATCGAATCAAATCTATTGTTTTGGTTTAGTTTGGTTATTAAAGTATTAGTTTAATAATTGGTTGTAATTTTGATTTTTTATTGGTTATTGGTTAATTTTTTACTTTTATAAAAATTATTAAAAAAAAAAATTTTAAGATTAAATTAATATCGCCATTTAAATAAATAGGTAGCATAAAAATGGATATGGTTGTTATTTATGCCACTTGCTAATCAATTTTAACAACGATTACCCAATACTTTTCTTAAATAGATTTTATTAAGCTAAACATAATTATGTTTATTATTAAATTTAATTATATTTTAGTTCATCCAATATTGAACCAAATAGACTGAACTAAAATTTGGTTCGGATTCTTTAAAAAAAAAAAAAAATAGTTGGTTTGATTTTTTAAAATTTATAACTAATATCAATTGGTTTATTGGCTAATTCATTAATCTAATCTTTCAAATCGATCCAATATACACTCCTAATGATACCTTATTTTATATTCTTCTTTCTTTTAACTCTCCTATGAATGGCAAAGTGGCCTTTTTCTGCTTGATGCTTTGAAGAAGCAATTCATTATATCTCAAAAGTGATCAATCTTACTCTTATTAGCAATGCTCTCAATTCTAATTGCTTTAACTGCCTATTCCTCTCCCCATACCCTTTGTCTAAGCTCTCAATGATGGCATAAGACGTTCAAGTTTAACTTCAATTGTTCCAAAGGGTACAATTGCCTTAGCTAAGCTCACATTAGACTTGATAAACATAAATAAGCATTTCCACATACTAGAAGGGTCTGATCTTGATCCCTTTATATTACTTTCAAATATGTATAGCTCGGCGTTCTACCTATCTAAAACGTCTGTGTTGGTGACTTTTGGCCTTGTTACATTTGTGCTTTCTATCAACACTCTCTTCTCCACTTTCCATTGATTCTCTTCGATAATGCTTTCTATCATCACTCTCTACTGATATCTCCGTTCAAGGATCTTATTCGCAAATTCTCTGAAATTGATCTCTTTACCAACTTTTTAAGTCAAATTCACATTAAGTTCTCTTTGATGAATTGTCCATGCTCATTTTTTGACACTCACAATCTCTAGGAAACAAAAATTTTTTACTACTTCATTTCCAGTCGATACTAATTCCAAACTCAAGTGGACATCTTCCATACCGCCTTAAGTTTGTGGGGGGTGTATTATCACATCTAAATTATTACATGTGCTAACTTATTGACGGTAGATATCTACATTATTTGTTATTGTAATATTTCGTAATTATTCGGATATTACTTTGTATTGTATTTTTCTTGATTATTCTCTTCTCATGCCTCTATGTAAACACATGTATTTTTTTAATTTCAAAACAATTCAATATGGATGTAGTTCCTTACAATTCTCCTCCTCTCTAGTGTTAATTAGGCTTTGGAGTTAAAACATGAAATTTTTAATTGTTAGCTTTATATATTGGAATTTATTTCAAATTATTTTCTTATATTCTCTATTTTTATCTTGTTTTCTATTTATGCAATATTAAATATAAAATTAGGAGGTATACATTTTATGCCTTGGCGCCTGCATTTTATCTTATGCCTCTGTCTTTAAATATATTGTGCACTACTCATACATGTTGGTAGCATTTTGTTAAGTGCTACTCATTATGATAAAGCCAACATTTATACTTCCAAATTCTTCCAAATTCAAGGGTACTATAATTGTACTAAAACTATACAAGCTTGTTATCTTTATATATGGTTGAAAATCAGGAGTTCTTGACTTGAGAAAAAAGGGGAAAAAGAAGAGCAAGTTTAATTAAGAGAGTAATAGAAAGAAAGAGCAGATAAGGAAGAAAAAGAGGGAAATAATAAGATAAAATAATTTTTAGAAATTTAGGGGAAAAGGAGCAGGAGATATGACTATGAAGTAATTGCGAAGGAGAAGAAGAATAGTGGAAGATGAGTTTATAATAAAAGAGGGGGGGGGGTTGTAAGAAAGAATAGAGGCCGGAATTTAGAGAGATTGGAGAAGAGATGAAAAAAATACAGAGTAATGGATGTTCTAGGGAAGAGAAAAGAAATGCTAAAGGGAGAAATTATGTATGTGTGTATAAGAGAGAACATGAAGAGAGTGGGAGGTGGAAGAGATGGGAGAATAGAGATAATTTGTAAGAGGAATTGAAGAGGTAGTTGTGGGTGAAATTCAAATAACACTGCATTCCATCATAATCTTTATGGTCCTCTTTTATAGATCAAAAGGCCCTTAGGAACAATTTTATGAATGATCTTCATCAATATGAGTTACAAAAAATTTAAAGAAAACAAATTATAGTAATCTAAAATCACAAACTAAATGTTTCCTTGTTACATCAACTAATTAAAACAAAAATAGCAATCGATCTTGTCCTTAACAATGTATAGCCTTCTTCATCTAATGATCACAATCACCTATGAATACATATTTGTTGCTCTTGTCATTAAAAGTGTGAGTAAAATTGAAAATGAAACCCCTAAACCAATAATTTGGTTTTCGTCTAATGGATAATTTGGTTATTTTCGTGATTTATAGGATGCTTCATTCTTGGTCGTTGTATTTTCTTTCTCTGGCAATTCTTGATAATTGCCTATGCTGTGCTTGTATCATTGTCTAGTTATAATATTTTGCTTTAAAATTTTTTTCTAATACCCTATAAATATAACATACATATAGAAAGTTAATTTTGATCTTCAGCCATCGAATGATCTAATGACAGATGGCAGTGCCTTGTTCCAAAACAAAGGCTTTCTCAAGCCTCTTTTGAGGCACTCCCTATTTTGGGCTTATTAATTTGCCCTGGGTAGAATTATTGTGCTTAGGCCATGCCTTTTCCTTGCCTTATTTCCTTTGAAGCCAAGTTGGCAATGTTGAAATTCTCCTCTATATGGTCACCTTGGCAAAGTAATGAATATGCTTAAAAAGGGACTAAACACGTTGCCTTCCTACCTAAATAATGTTAGCTACACTGACCTAAATTTTATCACATATTTGCCAACTTTGTGCCAATTATGTGGAACTCTTAGCAACTAAGTTTATATTTCTATTGCAAAATTAGCTAGCACAAACTAGTCGATGGATGTACTAATGTACAACCGTGTGTTGTTATAATTGAAATAAAAGTAATCAACCTCTGTTATGCCAATGTTTTGAATAAATTGTTTATGAAACTTCTGAAATTAGAAATTTCGTGTGCTCCTGATTGAGAAAATCAGGTATATGATGTCATTTCCTGTGACTTTGATGAGACACGTTGTCAAGATTGAATAATTTACGTAAGTTGGCACATGCCTTTACTGATTTCTTATTTCTTCGTTGATTTGCAATCATTCATAATTGTTTAGATTATCTTTCTAATTTTTAGTAAACAAATGCGTTTAATCTTTGTTTTAGTGATCTTCCTTGCTATTTACCTCACTTAAATTATGTATTATAGATTTTCATTGTTAAATTATTTGTTTTGCAGGGGAGAATCAACCCATGAAATGGCAAATGCGACTGAGGGTTGCACTTTATCTAGCAGAAGCCTTGGAATATTGCACTAGCAATGGCCGTGATCTTTATCATGATCTTAATGCTTATAGAATTCTATTTGATGATGTAGGTATCATGTTTCTTAGGGCAGTTCTCAACATTCTTTCATACATCTCTAGCTTCTTTATCTCTCATCATTGATTAGCGTGTTATAGGATTGCAATCCTAGGCTTTCATGCTTTGGCCTGATGAAGAATAGTCGGGATGGTAAAAGTTACAGCACAAATTTAGCATTCACTCCTCCAGAATATCTGAGAACTGGTATTTTCAGATCTTTTGCTTTTATTTTTATGTGAGAAAACATGAATATTTTAGAGGCAACAAACTACTTTCAACTATCAAAATATAGTTCTGCATTGGCATATTTATATGAAAGACTATTCATAAAAGCCGATATGTTTGTTTGAAAGGATTAATAGGACTGAATATTACTGAATTCATGTGAATTTACTGAGTTGAGCCGCAACTGAGGTTACACATTTGCACTTTGTACTTTCTCTTTAAATGAATTGGTCTGTGTATGTTCTTTCGGTATGATGCAACCTCTCTTTTATCGGAGTAAATAAATATAAACTTTGCAAACAAATTTTTTCAGAAGTCAAGTTCAAAGAGAACTTGATTGAGCATTCTAAGATCAAGTTCTGACAGCTAACTACTTACTTTTGATTTTGCTTTATTACAGCCTTACAGCTTTATAAAAGTGTAGAGGAAGAATTTAACAATTCTTCACTCTTGTTGTTTGGAACTTGTAGTGTGACACTCACGTAAAACTTACCCTTTATTAATTTGTTTTAGTCTAATCATGTTGGATTTGACAAAATAATGTGGGAGATCAAGAAAAACAAACACCAAGTCATACATTTGACAAAAGCTAAACATATTGTTTCATTGTTCTCCCTTGGTCGAGGTATACATGATTTTCTTTGATGCAGAAAAATTTAGTAAAGTCTGCTGATTTTAGTTTGTTTAATCAAAATTAGTTGTGTTGACAGTTGCATCTAAATATGAGAGTGAACTGTTTTGAATTATTATGTCTTATAAAAGTCAAATTGATTCTTTTTAACAACCAATATATGTTGCTACTTTATTTGAATCGGAGATTGTCAGAAAATGTAAAAAAATTCACACAAGTTTGAAATCTGCTTGTCATACATTTGTGATAACCAGGAATTCTGAATTTGTCCATGCATAATTACTTCTCAGGATTGCTCAAATACTGAATACCGATGATTTAGAAAGAAGTCTACTTTTGTATATGTTGTTTAGATATGAGGTTAAAATCTGCTTTTTTATGATATCAGTCAGTTAAACTAATATTTTATTTCATTATGAGATATTTTAATCGAGTACATGTCTCTAGTTATCTCTTTTTACAGGTTATTTCTTACCTCCTCTGCTTCTTTATGTGGATTACTAAAATTCTTGTACTTGGTGTTAATGCTTAATTATAATTTATCCTAGCATGCTTCTTAACTGTTCTCATGTTGGGATGTTCGATTGCAAAACAATTGCTCTTTAAAGATGCCGCATTTTTTTTTTATGAACAATTTGAAGTCGAATTAGCTTTATATTCATTTAAAATAATCAAGCCTCACCTAAGGTTTAGACACTTCTTTATACTTTATCTATCAAATTGAGTTATAATTGTAGTTAACATTGCTACATGTATAGAATCTAATCCATTCTTGATATATTTTTTTATTTATTCTGCCTTTGCTTCTCTTGAATTTGTAGGAAGGATTACGCAGGAAAGTGTGATTTACAGCTTTGGCACATTGCTGCTTGATGTTCTTAGCGGAAAGCATATTCCTCCAAGCCACGTCAGTACCATTTCTTGGTTATATTTAGATTTAGTGATTAAATTATTAGAGGACTTTTCAAACGAGTAACATAATGATAAACATGTTTGTGTGTTTGTAGCTTTTACTGCACTTCATAATTAAGAAACTACACTTATATTAACTAAATAACGGATTTTGTTGATTGAAACATCTTAGAGCTCAGTTAAACCTCCTTTTTTACTTGTCAGATTCCTGTTCCATCATGCTGCCTCTAATTCCTATGTATAATATTGGGCAGGCCTTGGATTTGATAAAAGATAGAAACTTTCACATGCTGACAGATTCCTGTTTGGAAGGGCAGTTTTCAAATGAGGATGGCACTGAACTAGTGCGCTTAGCTTCGAGGTGTTTACAATTTGAGCAACGTGAACGGCCTAATGTAAAATCATTAGTCCTTGCATTGACACCTCTCCAAAAAGAAGTTGAGGTGAGCTTATTGATTTTGTTACTGCCATCTGTGATATTTGTCTTACATGTTTATCTCTCTATTAATGCTCTTATTTTTTCCCTATAAATTTTAAATTTTTAAAAGTCCTGTTTTTATGCAATTTTCCAAACAAATTATATGTTTCCATTGTAGCGATGCATATGATTTGCTTCTCTTGTAGTTTGTATTTTTTTTTTTGGGTAATTTGCAAGAAACTCGAAGCAAAAGACAATTTATGTGATTTAGTTGATTGTCTTGTCTAAATTGGCAGCCACAGAAAGAAATACTGGCACTATTATAAAGAAGAGTAAATCAGATTTTCTCACATAATCCTTTATATGTTTGGGAGAACAATAAAAAACGGACATAATGAGACCTGAAGTAGAAGATACTAAAGAACCGCACATTGTAATCCCTGTTTTTGTCATGGGATTTTTCTTAGCACATCAATGCGTAATCTGGCACCATTTCTCTTCCACCGTGCTGAACGTTTGCCACAACCAGAAATAATGGAGCCAAGCAAATTTTCTTATTTTTTCTGTTCCTTTATTTTCTTCTCTTTCTCTTTCTTCTATTATTTTACTCTAACACAACAAACTCATTAAGCCAAATTCAATTAAGAACTTTACCTCATAGCACCTTCCCTTTCACTCTTTGCCTCAGGACAGCATATTTAGAAATCCCAATATCTACAATTTCTTCTACTTATGATATTTAACAAAGATTGAGGTGGTGAAATCTTTTATTTAAATTTTGATTTGAGGCTTATTCCAAAATAATTATTTTTAACAAAAATTTTAAGCTATGATTATCCAAGAAGATAATTGAGATAAATTTGTACTTCCGCCTGGAGATGATTTTTGTTTTCATTTTCTAATTGGTAGAAATTAACTTTTTGCAACATCTCCACACAATCATCCATTGATATTCAAGGCTATATAAAAAAGTGTTTTTCAGTGGTGACTATTTTTATTAGCATGTTGGCTGGGTTCTCAGATCTTTTTGCTTTGCTCTTTGAATGCCACCCTCTTAATAGATCTCAGATAAAGTATTATTTTAATTGAAAATAATTAGCCTAGAATAAATTATAGCATTCTTAGCAAGATGGTTAGCATCGACTGGTATAATAAAGAACACTATTATTGTATTCTTTTCCCAACTTCTTAAAGAAAGTCTATATCTAAATCGTTTCTTTGCCAACCTTAACAACTGCAACATATTCTACCTTTATGGTTGATAAGGTCAAAATCATTGGTACTTGTGAGATGCCACTGATAATAGCTTTTCCCAAGGTATTGATTTATCCTATTGTACTTCTACATGTATCTAAATCACTATCTATATCAACATAAACAAATATTGTCAGTTTTTTGTTACCCTTCAGAACTATCATTGAGGTTTTTATAGTACCTTTCAATTAACACATAATCCATTTCATCACCTCTTAATGTGCCTTTTGTGCATTTGACATATATTTCCAGAGAACTGCCACTGCATCATCTTTATCAAGTCTTTTTCGTATCACAGGATTCATTAGTGAATTGATTGTTTAGATTTATGTTCTATCTCCTCATTAGTTTAATGTCATTGTTGAGCAGCCAATTTAAAGCGGCCAGCCATGGGAGTTCTTATAGATTTTACATGAACTTATTTAAACGTAATACCTTCTCATTATACTTAGCCTGAGATGGCTTCAGCATGCTGGTCATTTTGTCATGATTAGTCCTAAGAATTTTCTTCATCTCTCCTAATCCCTTCATGTCAAAACTCCTTTGTCAACTTTTCTTTCAGTTTATTAATCACACTAATATTTGCTCCTGCAATCAAATGAAATATAATGCAATGCTTACAAACACCTTTCATGTAACAATAATGTTCTGCATTGCATCTGGTGAAGGCAATGTGATCTTTTACACTGTTTACCATCAACCAACCAAGTCTCTTTGTAATTACATAGTGTAATAGATGTTGGAAGGAAACTTTTTGCTAGTCAAGTGTTTCTCTTTTAGTTTCTATTCATCCCATATTTTCGTTGACAACATTCCTTTTCCATTGTTCATAAAATGGGCATGAATTCTCTCTGAATGTGTATGACTGCCAATCTTCCATCCTATTTAAAATCCCTGTAAATTGTCTGAATCTTCATATCAAGAATCATTTATAGATGCAGTTTACGCATTTCCTGTTTATACTCGCAGTTGCTCACTTATCTTTACCCACAATATCAGATTTTTTACCTTTGCTCGTTTCTTAATGTTGTCTATGTAACTGTGGTATCAGGATTGTCATATCATCTATTTCATACCAAGATAATTGAAATTCTAATTTTCTTCTAAGAAAAATATGCACCTTGGGCCTGAAGATGCAACTTTTCTACAAGTGACTGCTTATGGTTGTTAATGCTTGCCTTTGCCTTTTTGTTTTACTGCCTTGCATAGTCATGTTAGTATAAAATTATTTGGTTTTGACGAGTAATTTATTGTTAATGCAAGTACATACATACTTATGGATTTTTCGCTCAAGATTCATTTACGTTCTTGCATTTATATAGCTTTGATATTTTAAAGTCTATAGTTCATGCAATATATTGCTTGAAGCAAGTTATAAGCAAAACTACTCTTCGTTCCTAATCATTACTAGGAACTGAGATTTTGTTAAAGAATTTATTAGAGTCTCTTATTTTTGAAAAGATATATGATTAAATCTCTTCTACTATCAGTTTGAAGGTGTAATGAGATTTATATTATTCTAGATTAACCTAGTAAATCCTTGATTTATCTTAGAAGTTGAATAGGTGATTAATATTATTGAGAAGGTTTGAAATGATTAATTTACCAACCTAATCTCAATCTTTAATTTATTACCATTTGGCTTGTTATATGTTAGCTTTACACATACGATATCATATAAATACTACTATTTTTTTCTAGGGCCTTTTGCTGCTTTCTTTTGGCTATTAGTGTGCAAGTCAAATTTTGCTCAAATTCGAAATAGGGTTTAACTCAACTCTAAAGTAAAGTATGTTTTGAGTTAAGATGTGTCGACTCGATATGATTAAATTTCTAGTAAAATCAAAATGAATTTGAGTCATTTTGAAATCCAAAAATTTTAAAACAATGGAAAAGTATTGGTTGCAAGTTTTGAACTTGTCTTCTTTCGACTAAATCAAGTCTAAGAATCACTACACTAAACAAATTTTGCCTATTATAAACATAGTTTGATGTATGCAGACACCCATTTCTTAGTTAGCCTAATAATTTTTTATTTATCCGTCATAACTCACATTTAATTTATAATTCCTCTCATAACTCAATATTTTGAATTGATTTTTATTTGATTCAAAACTAAAGTGAGTTTCAAGCGAGAAATTAACAGCCCTAGGTGGCATATTCAACTTTGATCATTCTTTCCTTTTAAAGTGGAGCATTATTTGTCCAAATATCTATTACATAGGTTTCTATCCAGTATGCATGTTGTTGTCCTTTTTATTATTAAATCTCATGTTAAGTTTAAAAGAATCAATTTTCACTTACAATGATAAGTATTTTCTTGTACATAATACTATTAGCTGAAAATAAATCCTATTGATTTGCATAATAATAATGATGAGGCCGGAAGTTTTGTGATAGGAAACAACACAAAATAGTGGCAAACAGAGCAGAATTTCAGAGAATTTCTGCAGTAAGACAGCAGATTTTGCCCAAGACTGTAGGAAAAACAGGGAAAATCACTAAAAATTCAATAGTAGAAGGAAAGGAATAGCCCGATACAATAAATCTTCAATTCGAGAGGAAGATTCAACCCTCCAAATCTCTAGCTAGAGTCTAGAGCCCAAAATTAACACTAAGATCTCAAATTTCAGTCCAAATTTAAGATGAAAACCTAACACTAGCAAGAAGAAGATTATTTAAAGTAAAAAGGACAATTCATTAATCACTAAATAGCCCCTATTTGAATTTTCCCTCCTAACCCTTCATTATTGTGTGGATCCAACTCAAGCTGCCGCCCAAGCCAGGCTTCTGCCCCCCTCTTGTTTCCGCCTTCTGTTCCGGCCCAAGGGCCGGTCTAAAATTTTGCAGAGAGGGTAATATGGAATATTATAGTTTGTCATGATCTTGATACGTTAGATATAAAGAAATGAGATTTATAAAATAATTGAGGCAATATATCAAGTTAATGTGTTAGTAGTTACAAGAATTTGATGCAAGCAAACTAGATGGAAGAAGCTAGATAAGGAGAACGTTGGGCAAAACTATAACCAAACTCGATTCAAATAGTAGCAATCATCTATAAGCACAAAAACCGACGAAAAAAACGAGAAGAGAGATCAAAAGAAACAAAAGAAACTTAAAAAGTCGCTATCTTCAGAACAACCGACAGAACGGTTTCCTCACATGCATCGAAATGTAGGTTAAGTAAAGTATGTGCTTAGGGCTAGCAAACTGATGGTCCACCACAGCAAGAAGGTCCAAACGTCCAACCAAACTCCTCCAGCAAATGCTCCCAAATCAACCAACAAACACCTCCAAAGCTCAAGAAGAAGGATACAAATGGAGTGGAACTTGCGTAGAGAAGAAAGAGGTAAGAAGCCCAGACGAAATAGAGGAGGAGGAGGATTGGACAAAGCTCTCAAGCTTTTCCAAGAAGAAGAGAAAACCCTAAGGTTTTTAGAGACTAAGCTCAACAATTTTCAACAACCTTTGCCTTCAAAAATCATCTTCTATATATAGGCAAGAGAGGGAAACCAAATAGCCATAGCACCTCCAACTAAACCAATTAGATTTAGGGAAATGAAAGGCCAACAGCCACAATACATCAGTCCCATTCGGTACAGCAAAACAGAGAAGAGAGGCCATGGGAACCAAGCAGACAGCCGCAAAACCAAGCAGGTAGCCACGGGAACCAAAGGGGCAAACCATGGGAAAGTCACCCAGCACAAGAAAACGAGAAGACAAGCGGGAGGAGAAGAGGCAAGTCCACTTCAAATTGAATCCAAGAAT